CCAATTAAACTCCACTGGGTGTCAATCCTAGTTGATTTTATAACTTCATCCAAGTTTTCTAATTGTAAACTGCTGTTGGAACTGTTTCAATTTTTCCTTCCTTTTAGAACTCCTTTCAAGATAATCAAATAAATACCAACTATGTGTTCATGCACATTTATCGGTAAAGAAGCTACCTCTTTTTCAGCTGCTAAATTTAAGAGGTCACAGGTGCACCTCATAATCTGCAAATCTGAATTTTACTTTTTTTGGAGATGCCTGCAACACCAGCCTACCAATACTGGTGCATTTAACTGTGCTATATTAAAGCCTGTCAAATGTCCTTCTAAAGTGGGGACAGAAAGTAAACTGCACTCAATTTCTGAAGACTCTGTATTTAAAAAAGAAACAATTGGATACAGTTTTGAATCAGTATTATTGCTCCCATCTGTACAGAGGCAGAATGGAGCTGCTTTAATGCAATCAATAACTGAAGATTTATTTTTCAAACCCATTTCTTTAACAATTGCACCTGTTTGGGTTCTTGCACTTGAGTATTTCTTAACGCTTTCACTATCGGGAAACATTTTTCTAAATAAGCTGCAGCGTGATGCGATGCATTCAGTGGCAGGTTGTGCTCCAGTAAAAAGGCAGAGAACAGATATTTTGCATTAACTTTTTGATCCTTTGTTTCTGAAGAAAAATTAATTTTTCATTTTTTTCAAAACAACTCATGTTGCCCTTGTGTTTTTGTGTACACAAATGTTTGAGAACATCGCTCTTCCACTATGCGAAATCGAAAAATCCCAACGACAGGCATTACACATCGCAAATTTATTACATTTCCTTGATGGAAATAATGGAATGAACAGTCAACTGGTGTACGATTTTTGAAATGTACACGAGTATTTCACCTTTCTCGCAGACATAACAAAAGATGATAATTTCTAAAACTATTTCTTGAAGGCACGTGTACTCACATAACTCAGGACAAAATAACTAAAGAACATACAAAAAACATCTTGCTTTGTCCTCATTGGCTAATAGATGCCAGATGACACGCATTGGAGCTCGATGCCTATTGGAGAACAACGTTTCTGGATATGTATATGCTTTCACTCACAAAGCAGAAGTTATCTGATTTGCAAGGTTTTGTTTTAGATATAATCTAGAGAAATTCAATTGCTTTCAGACATCCAAATTCTTTTTTTTTTTTTTTTTGTTCATATAACAAAGTATTAAGCCAAATTCCATAAAAATAGTGAGAAATTTTAAGAATAAGAAAAAGTCGGGAGAAATATATTGTAAATTGGGTCGGGGGGAGAGCGGTGGAAAATCAGGAGAGTTGGCAACTCTGGTACTGAATTAGCCCGTTTTCAGAATTCTGTAAAGCGTTCCAAAATACTGATTTACAAACCATATTGTAGCAGTACCCACAAACACTTTTAAACTAGCCTTCATTATTGATGACCACTACTGTCATCCATCAATCCATGCATGTCTTTGATTCAAAGGTCTTGATAAATCTGACACTAGTAACCCCATGATACAGAGAAAAAATAATTTATAAGAATTTAGCAGACTGTAGGTATGCTTTCTGAAGTCTATCTTGGAAAAATGCTTTAAAGATCAATGAAGAAAAATAAATAAAACATTTTTACTAGGAGGGGAGGGATAGGAAGTAATACATCAAATTAAAAAAAAAAAAAAAAAATCTTGTAATAAGATTAAAAGATTTAAGAATAGTTCTTTGCAGCTGTCATTTCTGAAAAATTCTCTGAATCGATTTTAGAGTAAAATGCCAATTTAAAACTTCTAATTAAATGCACACAGCGATTAAAGTATATTAACCCCATTTTCTATCCAAATGAATCAAATATTTCATAAATAGGATAAATTTAGCATTTGGGATATTTTTTTGACAAATGGTTTTCAAGCCAAAGTCCCAGCCGTAGTTAATTGGTAGGATACATCATGTCTTACACGTAGTGATCCACTTACTATAACCACACATATTATTCTGAAAAACTTTATCATATGAAACAGATTTTACATTGTATGGTATAGAGTAAAGCAATCTTTGTATAACCCAAGATCTCATATTTGTTCTTTTTTCTATGTTCATTTATGTACGAACACAGCAGCGTCTTGATTTTCCAACTATAGAAGATGATCCCCAACATTCAGGAGATTCTAAGTACTTTTTAACCCAGCAGTAACTTTTACACTGTAAGTGGGACATGTATATCCCGTTAGTAGTCAAAGGGTTAATGAAATAAATCTCTACTCAGAAACGATATGCTTTTGAAATCCCAAATACATATAATAAATTTGGTGAGTTCTGAGTCAAAGAATTAATATTTGTCATTTACACTAAAACTAAATTAGATTTTTAGCATATCAGAAATTCTAAAATTGAAATAACTACTCAGAAAAAGTTCAATGTTTATTTTTATATAGTTACTGTTTATACATATGCACATAAAGCATAAATAACATTTTGAAGTAATTTTTTTAAAATGTAAAATCTTTTTTGCATAGAAAGTTGAGATATTTGAATACAAAACATTCTGCTTTACATTAAAAACAGATATATACATTTTATATACAAAAGAAACACAATGAAATGTTTAACTACTACATTTATACAAAACATATGTATATAAGTTAAGCTGCTTAAAATGAATGCTATAATTATGAATGCATTCAAATGAGATCTCTAACAGCCAGCATGCCAGTAAATTATTATTACTGTGAGATAGTTTGCAATGTAGAATTTTGACTTAATGCATATTTGCAAAGTCTAATTTTCTTTTTACCTTCTTAAACTAGCACTTGTTTATCACAGTTTTTGGTGGTGATATTAAATTTAAGAGAGAGAAGAACCTGGGACAGCAATACATTTAAATTTTTAGAAATACACAGCATTTTTATGCTTTATTAACATAAAAAAATTTGTTTCATAAAAAGCCTTTGCTATTTATAAATTCTTTTTATCCGTCCAACCTTCCCCTCACACCTACATAAAAATAGGGATTAAATGTTAACCAACCATATCACTGGTGACCCAAATTCTCAGGACTAAAACATAAAAATAATACAATTATTGCCATTTTGATTTAAATCAGTATAAATGTTTTAATTATGAGTGAAATGAGTTTTGTATTTTGTACCAATTTTTTTGGGCAATAAGGTTAGAAATTAAATGCCCAAGCTCTATTCCCCCTCACACACCCAATGCATGTATTTCTCAAGTACAAATAATAAAAGAAATAAAGTTATATAATATAATAACTTCCTAATTTTATAAACTTTACCTCTATATCGCAAAACACACCCATAAAAAATGCAACAAACTAAACCCAATTATAGTATGAAAAGCAATGTAAAACACATATTATTATTTGAGATGTATTTGTGCAAAACTGATTAAACTTATATAATACATAAAGTATTATGAATAAAATGTCACTTCAAATTTAAAAGTGTAATGGTTGCAAACATGCTTGAAGAACATATTGCAGTTACATATTGTGTTCAAAATTAAGGGAAAATAACCACACTTTCTTCAAATTTCTCAAAAAAAAAAAAAAAAAAAAGTATGAATACAGAGTAATATAAAACAACAATTCCTACTACAGTAATAACCATACATGATCATGATAGAAGGCATTCCAAAACTAATATTGCAACATGGGCCTCTAATAAGACTAACATAACATATAGTCATATGTTAACACACAATAAGTCATCATACTATGAATGAGACAGCTGATCAGTCTTTGTGGCAGTTGAATACAGTTCTGTATTAATTGCTGGATGGCAAACACATACATATTAAATCAGATTCATGTCTAGAAATTTGGCTGGCCAATCCATCTGCTGAATAATCATGCTTTACAAATACTCATTTACCGAATCATAGATGAGAAATATTATTCATATCTAGATTCAGAAATATTATTCATGTCTAGATGAGAAATATTAATCATAGATGAGAAAAATTCATGTCTAGATGAGAAATATTATTCAAAAAAGGAACTGAGATCCAAAAGAGTAAGTAGCCTCTCTCTGAAGCCCATCCAACATGGTGCCTGCCTAAACCATGAAACCTTTGTCACAATAAAGATAGATCCCCTTCCTTAATGCTGGAAGAAATGGTATTGACCTCTCTTCAGATGCAGGTACATCATGAATCAAGTACCTAGGCTGAGACTTGTCATTGAACAGAATTTAGATTTAGAAATTAAGTCTAGATCTGATGCCCTCTGTACCACATATTGTCCTGAACAGACCTTTGTGCTTGACTCATGAGCAAATTCCCATTTTTCACTGAGTACTGTGATTCAAGAATGACCTTTATCCAGGATTTCAGGCTATAGATTCAGTCTCCTCAAATTCTTGGGACTGCTCTACCTCATTCGCCAACTGTTCTTCATCCCTTTGCATCCTCAAGCTTTATCCAATCAAATCGCTTATCAAATTAAAAACAAAATTACAATGAATGCTATGATTATCACCAATGTGTATAAAAGGTTAAGAGGGGAACAAAAGGCCACTTTTATACCCAATGCAGGTAAAATGTCATATACAAATATATATTCATAGCAGTACCATAGTATTTGTAATATTTTAGCATGATTTTCCAGTTTTGATTCATTATATTTTGAGAAATGAAAAAAACATATTTATTCTAATAATTTTAAACACCATATATATTGGACCATATCGTACTTTCTAGCTCACATGGTGTTCAACTCAAATTCCATAAAAGAATTGAAAGGAGCTGCATTATGGATCATGGACTTTGTTGTTAAGGGGGGGGGATTATTTCTCTTACACTGTACAAGTTTAATTTCAGTTCTTTATCACATATGTTATTAACATGTATCACAACTCTGATAAGCCCAAGGTACATTTCTAGGTAAACACAGTTTTTTAAAAAATTTTCCTTTTGCATTTGTATTTATCTATTTATAAAATTTTATATTACAATTTAAACTGCAAAGCAAACACAACAAGTTATTAAAATGAGCTTTTAATGAACACAGTCACTCAAGATCAGTTACAGACTGTTTTTGCATGATGTGATGAAAATAAAAAGTATTCAGTTTACACAGGAGCCATATTTCCATAACTAATAAGTCAGGATGATGATGGTCATACAGAATGATTTAAAATTCAGTTTTGAAACAGATAACAAACACTGTAATGAAAATCTGGCTACACTGTTTTAGATATGAATACTTTTTGTAGCCAATATTGATGACATTTTCGTTTTTCTTATTTCTTCTTATAGCAAATCATCATTCCATCTATTAAAAAGAATAAATAAATAAAATTAAAGCAACCTAATTAACAATGTTGAAATATAATTTTTTTTTCTATAACACTTTTACATACAGAAAAACACTATATACTGAAACTATTAAAATGCATTCATGAAGCTAATTTGAAAATTTTATTGCACACACTATTTGATATTCTGATAATCAATATTCTCATGAAAAGGTTGCAAACTTGTTGACGGTTCTATACAGAAAAGTTTGTTTGGCCATCTTTATGTCTATTTCAATAATGCATCCAGTGCCACCAATTTTTTTCATTCTTTTTCTATGCAAGAAGTATGCAATTCTTTTCTTTTGGAGGAGTATGTGTGTATGTGAGGCTGATGTACTTCCCTAAGCAATCTGTTTAAAAAAAAAGGGGCAATAAGGGCATAACATTGGCACCAAAATCTATAATGAGAAGGGGAAATGCAATCAGCTACATTATGCTCTATGTACACAGAATGTTATGTCTGTGATTTCAGACATATACATTTACCACAAAAATACTTTTGGCGGCATAGCACATTGCCTCATCAATACTTTTTTGCTGTTTTTTTTTTTTATGCAGATGTGGGTAATAAAAAGCAATGAATATTTATTTATTAAAACCATTTTTTAAGTTTTTAAGTTTCAGATAAAAATTAAATGTTTCCATAATCTTAATTTTGAAACACTTTCATTAAAAATGCAAAAGATTAGGTTAGGGTAATTTGATTAAGGTAAAGTGACTCAGGGAGGAATGGCTTTATAAGTGAAACTGGCTTGTATTCGTGTTACACAAGGAATAAACCAGAAAAACTCCCACGCTATCACCACATTCATTGGGATCTGAACCCAGGTTAAACAACCAATATTCATTGATTTTTACTACTCAGACACTGATGGACACTAAAACCAAACAACAATTATCTTATTATCATCCTTTCCAACTGAGTCTTCTGCAAATAAGAAGTTCAACAGTAACTAACAATACCTGATTTACGTAGAAGGTCAGGTGGATTTCTTTAAAAAATTATTATTTGATGGTGATAAAAAGAGAAAGAGAGAGAGAGAGAAGGATATTGTATAATTTTTATAAATTTTATTTCTGTCATAAAATTCTTAAACACTATTATTAAAAAAAAATCTTTAAATAAATTTACTATTTTACTAGAGCAATTGAAAATTTCATAGCAAAGTTTAGTGTTCTTTTTCTTGAAAGGTTCTGGAAGAATATGATTTTTAGTTTTTACATTGAAAACTGGTGTGCATGGATAAACATGAAGCCTTATGCAAACTAATCAAGTTATCATATAATTTTATTAATTTACATACAGGATCATGTTGTTTAACAGTGTATAACACTAAACAAATAATCTACATGCAACAATAAGAATTTCACTTCAGTTACATAACTATTTTACAATGCTTAATTATTTACATATTAATTTACTCAATGTCTATAATACCTAAATTTTAACCTTACTTTATTTACATATGCATCTAATTCAGCATCCAGTTCTTCTGCTGTGGGCACTTTTCGTGGAGCTCCACCTCTCCCTCCTTGCCTACCCCGTGAGCTTCCACTTTGACGACCCCTATACACAAACATAAAAAATAGTAATATTTAATTGATTGGATATTTGTTTGATAGATTAAGACCAAATAAATTTTTAAAAGGTTTTTCTTTTTAAATTCAGCTGAGGGGGAATCCTTTTGTTCATTCCAAATATTCTACTTATTATCCTATATCCACTTAAATTATACAATTATACAATAATTTTCAATTTCAGTTAAATTATACAATTATTTTCTGTTGTTTTATTATATAAATACAACATAACTTTTTGCAGTAAATAAATTCACAAGCATATACTCAATTTAACATAAGTCAAATTTCAACATAATACAATAAAAATGTTTCATTTGTTGTGACCTTTAAAATATCTCATGAATAAGCTATGTTTTTGCATCCTCAACAATTACTTTATACACATTTAGAGAAATAAATGACTATGCCAAGTGTATTTTGCCATTTGTATTCAGTATGCCAAGTGTATTTTTTAACTCCCTTTCTGTAAGTCAAACACCTAACACTGGCAAGCATTTGCTATGGTAAAATTTGTACTCAGTGATTTAGGTGTGGTGATCAATTACAAATATTCTATTCTCACAGCTAGCAAGTAAACTCAGTTTGACAACTACAGGTATTCTTGTAGATGGCAGCGAATGTGTTAATTACTGTGCAGCATCAAAGGAAAAGTGGTAAAAACTTAAATGGTGTTGGTTAATTTTAATTTAAGTAATAAACAATCCAGAGTTATCTTCCAAACAAAAGAGCATTGAGGAGGAGTTCAAGACAGAACTGGTTCATACTTATGTTATGCATGACAAAAACATGAAATCAGCCACTCTATCTAACAATATTCATATCTGTGTTAAACTATGAATGTTTTTCAATTTAATCGATTAATAGCTGACAATTAAGTGACGAAAGCACAGATCTGAGGATGGAAAAAGTAAATGAAAAATATAGGATTTTATCAGATCAAGTCACTTTTGATTTGAACCAGTACCAGTAACCACCAGAAGCCAGTACAGATTACAAAGGTTAAATAGCAAGAACTCTACATTGAAAATGTTGTAGATAAACTGCTAGACTAAATGGATAATAAACTGAGCTTCGATATAATGACATTACTTTTATTTTTAGATTATTAGCTAAGATTAAAACAAACAAACAAAAAAAAAAAAAAAAAAAACTTTAGAAATACTTTTTTCTGAATAAATTCACACTTGAAGATATAAAAGTTTTTAAAATGGATTCAAGAATGAAAGATATGTCTAATTTACCTGTTAAAGTTCCTTTGACTGTTTCCACTTCTTCCTCTGTTTGGACTAGGAATGGTAGAGCTTGCAATCTGAATGTTCATAGGCCTACCTAAGAATAAAATAAATACAGTCACCAAACATTATTATTCTTAAAGTATGTTATATTTACATTGTAGTTTTTATGCAGTGAGATATGTCTATCTAATTAATAGTATAATATTAGTTTCTGTAAGTCTCTGTATACACATTAAAGGAAGGTTTATATTTTCAATAATGAATAAAAATGATGTGCAAAATAACATAAAAAGCAAGAAGGAAACTATTATGAAATACACACAGATAAAGCATTTTGCAGCATAATAAATTCATAAACGAGTCATAACAAAGAAATAATTGTAACTGCTAGTAACACACCGGTGAACAACTGCTAAGGATGGATCAGAAACGGAGCAAATGGGAACTGAATAAATTCAATTAAAAATATTATTCTATGCCTGAATTCACTTTTGTAATACCATCCTAAAAAGATCCCTAAGTAGTATGCATTATTACTAAACATGAATTAATTAACATAATTATTAATAAGTTTGAGAATAAAATCATGCAGTTTATCAAGTAGAATTAAATATTTTACACTTATAAGAGGTTGGACATATTTGAAAGAAGATAAGTGACATTTACGTTTTACTAATAGTTAGCTTTATGTTGATTTTTTTTATGTCTCATTTTGTCACATACTTGATCAGTCTAGAGCAGAGGTTCTCAACCGGTGGTACGCAAGAAAAAAATAGGTGGTACACAAAGAAGCAAAGTATTTTTAACTATTTTTTTCAAAAGTTAAAATCCCAACATCCTGATTGAGTTTTTTCTCTGAACACTCGTAAATTTATGTGATCTGCGCTTTGTTCAAGATTGGTGGTGGTAGTACTTTGTAGTAATGGTACTAAAGGGTTTCAATTTTTATTTAGATGGTACGCATTAGTCAAAAGGTTGAGAACTGCTGGTCTAGAGGTTTAATAAATAACAGGTAGATTTTATGTTAAACGGCATAGGTTAAAATGAGAAGTAAGATCATAATCAGCATGATTCATAACCCCAAAAGGCTGAATATTATTACCGCTGCTGCTTGTCTACAGAGAGACCTGCTGATTAGAACAAACTTGAAAGGCCTGATGTAGGCACTGTTAGCAAGTGTTGAAAGTTAGTCAGGCTCTGTTTGACGCAGTTAGTGTCTGATGCAGTATAGCTGTGCAGAATTCCATGGGTTGTAACCCAGTTAATATACTTTCAGGTTCCAATAAGCCATTCAAGCACCAAAGGTGATAAGTTGTATTATTTTAAGTCTCACTAGATGCAAAGAATAAGTTTTACTTGAATTTCTACATTTTTTGTTTTATCTTGTGACTACAGTGAGTATTAATGAAAGGCAATACCTCGCTTTAATATATGGAGATAATTTTTAAGGGCAAGCAGTTAGTTATAAATAATTAAATTAGGTAAATAGGTAACCTTAGTCATTATGGATTTACATGGCCACTATTAAATTTTACTTTTTTAATAATATTTGTTAAAAAGGCCTTATTAAAATCAAAATCTAATAAAATTTCACAGCTTAAAATACGTGTAATTTATGACACTGATTCTTAAACAATATTATAATAATTACACATTAAAAGCTACAAAACATGTATGTTAGTAACAACAACACTCAACAAAATATTTATCCGTCATTTTAATTTTACTTCTCAAACATTTTGGCTAGTTTATATTGATTTCCTTCTCTTTAAGCATCTTTTCTACAATAGTTAAAAGATTTGCCTCAATATGCAAACTCAATATGAAAATTGTTTAAGAACTTCACTAGTTTCTGCATGCTTTATCTCCTAACTTGTCAACCACTCTACAATATATCTATGAGGGTTTACTTGATCTGGTAAAAGTTAAATAGTCACAAACCCCCGATAGATGTGAAGCAAATTATTGCTATGTCTGAAAGTAACTACAATATCAGGCAAAGGTTTAAATAAGCCTCTTATTTAAAAAGAACTTAGAGTAAACATAAAGGCATGTTCTGATGCTAACAAAGTCAATCACGGTGACGTAATTAAGCAAGAACAGTCAAATTCAAACTAAAAATGTGGACTAGTGGTCAAAGATAATACAATTCAATTTAATCTGGCTCAGTAACCCTACCATATGAGGAAACAGAAATGGAAAATTATAGTAAAGGTTGAAATCATAAACAATTGGGTAATTTACATAATAACTGCACATATCTTTGAAGAATAATTTTCTTTATGTATTAATTATGTACTAATTTAATTTCTTTAGTAATATGAAATTCAAAAGAAATATGAAATATATATGGTAAAGGATGGCTACAGAGCTGGTGTGGCAGAATTTTTAGAATTTAGTGACACACCGAACAACAAAATCTAGAAATGACAAAACTTTTATAATTTAGAAGCATGGCATTGGAAGCAGAATCTAGAAAGGTACTATGGCAGCAGAATTTAGGGATCCACAGAGATTGAGTCAGATGGGAAAATGCCTAGCTGCCAGATCTGTGTATGATGCATTAAGACATTGAAAATTTAGATTAAAAGATTCATCTAATTGAGATAATCTTGTAAAAGCCTAAGTTTTCAATTTTTTTATTAATAAAAAATCCATTTCTATAATCTTTCCTTTCTTCCCAAGTGATAAGATAAGAAGCATTTTTGATATCTTCCACGCTTGTGTTTAGTGAAAAGTAGAGAAAATAAAAGGAAGATAAACATGTTAAGAAAAAGATTCTAGTATCAGGAGTAAAACATTAAAATATTATGTTTTCATTGTTCTTCCAGACGTTATCCAAAAAGTAACAAATTCCTCGCAAACTTTCTGTAAAATACATCCATTACACATTGATACCATGGAGACATATATTAAAAAAAAGGGGGGGGGAAGAGAAAAAGTGTAAAATTAATTTTATAGAGAAAACTGATGCATATTATGAGAGTTTTGAATATCCTGAGACAATTACATGGGAAAAACACTTACTATAAAAAATAAAAAAAGAAGACTGTTTAATTAATTACATAGCTAATTTTGCTTTTGCTAAGAGCTGTTTTGTAAAATGTACTTTATAGCATTATACCTTGTTTATTTTTCAGATTTAAAATATTGTATAATATGTTGCCAAAATGAAACTTTATAATATAACAGCGAAAAATAAAAATGGTTTATTTTAATGTTATTTTTTAAATATATTTCAATATATTACCATTATTTTAATGAAATTTATCAATCTTACGATATTTAAAAAAAAAAAAAAAATCCTCGAAAAATTCACAGATTTTGGAATTAAAAACTTTCTATAGAAACTGACATTAAAATCGCCAAATTTCTAACTGTTTAATAAAAGAATTCCCATCCCCAAAAGCGAAAATTGTTTAAGAACTCTTTATTACCAAAAATGAATTTCGAAATGCTTATGTTTCACTTCTTGCTTAGAAACGCGAGTAAATATTAGAAACAGAAACAAATTAGTACAACCCATGAACCCATTCAAAAAATAACCATATACGTCAGTGAATCGCCAAAAATATTCCTCCAAAATGCTTATTCACACTCAAAATGGCAGTCGTAAAAAGACAGAAATTTTAGATGATTAAAATTAAGGACCTTCTACTGATTTTGGCCCAAATTAAGGACTTTTAAGGACCAAAATTCGATTCCAAAAAAATTAAGGACTCTTAAGGACCGTACGAACCCTGTATAAGCTAAGCTAAAATTATCTAATTCAGTTAATGTTCCAGATTGTGTTGTTCCTTAATCTTCAAATTGGATCCGGCTTATTATTTTTTGCAGACTATTACAGCAATTTTATAAAAGTAAACTTGAACTTTTGATTATGTCAAATACAATTTCCGATATATATTTAGTAATATGTAAAGGATCTACAAAGCAAAAGTATGTTTCGAAGTCCATTAAACAAAAAGTGGATTTGCTGAAAAAATGGATAAAGGCATATCCTTTGTTTCTTAACCATTCTGGAATCTGTTTATCAATTTCACGCTGCTCGGCAGAAGGGGGGCATAGCGGCACGCAATGAACTGAAAGTTTATCTGTCAGCATTATCCTTATCTTCAGGGCAGATGTTTTTATTTTATTCAGCTTATAATTCCTTACTAAGTGTAGTATTTCATCTCGATGTATTCCGTCTTTGATATGATTTAAATCAAATTCTTCATCATTATAAATATCACGAGTACACATCAAATAGTTTTCTGGTTGCAATTTTCTAATTTCGACTATGCGTAATGTATGCTTTACGCATGCGCACGTTGAAAGAAATGTTTAATAAAGTAAACAAATAAATATTAAGCTTTTTTTTGTAAATTTTGATACTTTTTAGATCATAATTGTTCTTTATTTCATAAATTACCGTTTCATATTTTTAATTTTGTAATTTCTGCATGCCATTTTACCAGATTTAAACTGATGATCTACAATCCGGAAAAATCGATAATCCGGAATCGGCAAAGTCCTGACGAGTCCAAATTAACGACTTTTGACTATATTTCAATAAGACTATATTTTTTTTAACCTTTAAATTAATAAAAAATATTAAAGTACAACAAATACTTAAAAGCTGTGTGAACTTATTTCAATTATTTGATGCTTGTAAAAAATAGAAACTCAATTAATAAATATTTAACTATTTCTCTGTCTAACTAACAAATAAACAAAGGGGGAGATAACAAACTTACTACTGAAGCACTGATCATATTATGCTAAAAAACTGACATGTGTCACTTATTATCATATTCTAGAAAAGGTTAAAATAGATACACTGGTTCATAACTTCAATTCATTTTTCCATCATTTATATCATTAATCTTCCACATTATTAACAACTTGCTCCAACAGAATCTAAACGTGCTACTAATTTAGCAGATTATAGACCTAAAATACAGTCAAAAGTCGTTAATTTGGACACCCAAAATCCGGACCTCAAATCTACAAACTTTCTGCGCATGCGTGTAAGACCTTTTACGGCTGCGAATATGCGTGTGCGCATACGCATAATACATTTACGCATGCACATTTAATGTATAACGGACGGTATAAGCTAAGCTGAAATTATCTAATTCAGGTAATGTTGCAGATTGCGTTGTTCCTTAATCTTCGAATTGGATCCGGCTTATTATTTTTTGCAGACTGTTACAGCAATTTTATAAAAGTAAGCTTGAACTTTTGATTATGTCAAATAGAATTTCCGATATGTATTTACTAATATGTAAAGGATCTACAAAGCGAAAGTATGTTTCGAAGTCCATTAAACCAAAAGTGGAATTGCTGCAAAAAATGGATAAAGGCTTATCCTTCGTTTCTCTAACCATTCTGAAATCTGTTTATCAGTTTATCAATTTCATGCTGGGGGGGGGGGGGTTAACTCCGCGGCGCACAATGAATTGGAAGTTGATCTGTCAGCACTATCCTTATCTTCAGGGCAGATGTTTTTATTTTATTTGGCTTATAATTCCTTACTAAATGTAGTATTTCATCTCATTTTCATGTCAAACGAAAAAATTTCGATTGACAAATTAGTCGGTATTCTCGACACAGCAATTATAGGACTTGAACAGCGGAACTTTGTAACTGATCAAGAAATTATGTCTGTTTATAGAATTAAAGAGAAAGTATTATCACATAAAACAAAGCAACTTAAACAACTTACATTGAAAGAATTGTTTAATAAAGTAAACAAATAAATATTAAGCTTTTTTTTTTTTTTTTTTTTTTTTTGTAAATTTTGATATCCTTTAGATCATAATTGTTCTTTATTTCATAAATTACGGTTTCATATTTTTATTTTTATAATTTCTGCATGCCATCTTACCAGATTTAAACTGATGATCTATAATGCGGAATCTCCGAAGTCCCGACGAGTCCGGATTAACGACTTTTGACTGTACTTTTTTGACATAAAGCATAGCCAAGACAGATTGTTAAATTAACACTATATGGAAAATGTAAGAATTTTCATAATGCTTATCATCACAATTTAATGAGTTTTTATAATTTTAAGCGTCATGAAACACTATATAAAATTTTACCATCTAGAGGCACTCCATTATACTGCTTCATTGCTTTAACAGCATCTAATCGCCTTTCAAAGATCACATCTGCAGTTCCTAATGACCTTCCAGATCTGTCATAATGTACTGCAGCCTTTCTTAAAGGACCAAATTCAGCAAAAAGTTCCTAAAAGGCATAAAACATGGTGTAACATTTAAAAAGCTTTGATTCTTATAAAATACATAGCAAAATAGAAGTATCTACTATTAGGATTTTTTTCATAAAGCAGTTTCCCAAATGTTATTATTTTAAAATGAAAATTACAAGAATAATATAAAATTACCTTTATATCACCATCTGAAACTCCATAATCTAAGTTAGATACTAAAAGCTTTGTAACACCTGTTGTAAGGCCAGCTCGCTGACTGACTCCGCCATCAAACAGATCATGCTGCCATCTATCTGGTATCTCTTTTGGCTATAAATACATTTCTAAAACTAAGTAACTTTTTACACAAACAGAAAATATAATTAGTTAGCTGATAATATAATACTCTCATACACAATAACACATAATAAATAAAATTTTTATATCTACTTCTCTGTTCAAAATGGCTATCTTGAGTATTTGGCAAAATTAAAAAATTTAACATGTAACTTATTTCCAGGACTGCCAAATTTCTATGTGATGGCTGCCACAATTAAACTGATGTACTGATCATGTGCAACAGAACGATCAGCAAAGATTTTAAAGAAATAAATACTGAAAAATCGTCCCCTTCACTACCTTTCAATGTTATTTTGTATGAGTTTTTTCCTGCTCAATTCCTCCTGTACCATAATGCCTGTTTTTATTTTAAAAGGAAATTATAACTTTGGTTAAAAAAAAAAAAAAAAAGGTAAGCATTTGGTGAAAATAGCCATATTCTTTCCAACAGTCTCAGTATATTATACTGTCATCAATAATATTTTCTTCAATAACTTTAACCTCTTAACTGCTGCTGGCATATATATATATATATACATGCCTTGCTCAGCTGATGCCCCGGCCGTATATATATGCCCTTTCGAAATAAAGTCAAATACCAAAAATCCGCCGGTCTGAAATCCGCATTGCCTTTTAAAATATAAACATTAAGTTTATAGGTTCAAGAAACAGCAAATGGAGAACGAAATATAGAAGGAAAAATACTTAATAATGATGTCATAATTAGCGAATAATAATGAGTCATAATGGAAATACCAAATTATTGACATCATGATAAAAGTATTTTTTCTCCCTCCAATCTGCATCGAAGTAAAAAAGCAGATGATTTACTCTTCTTTCAAGTTTACGATTCACGTTTGTGTGTAAGCTTTGTTATTTCACAAGATTGTTTAGTGCTGCCGTTTTTATATCCGGATATTTTGTGGATAGATTAAGAATATTTTAAATTTAAGTGCTTTTTAATACAATGGTAGATAAGAAACGAACTCATGATTTTACTGTTTGCAACATTAAAAAACGTAAACACATTGCATTGACGGTAATGCAAAAAGTGGAAATTCTGCAAAAGATGGAGGCAAGTGCTACTCCTTGGTTTATAGCAGAATCATATGGAATTGTGACACGGACTGTATATGATATACAGAAAAATAAAGAAATGCTGTTGAAATTTTACAGCAAGCGATTCTAACACCGGAATCCAAAACCGGAAATCTTTACACAAGGCGAAATCGGCAAACCTTGATGCTGTCTTGTACATATAATACAATGAATAATATAATATAATCAATTTATATGTAATAATAATTTAATGCATATAAATCATTGTAATAATGTATATAATAATTTAATTAAATCTTATTTATTTTGCACTTTTAGTCTGAATATTACGATTTATCTTTTCTATCTTGAAATTCGCACAGCCTCTGGTCCCAAGCTGTGTGGATTTCTGGACTTTTACTGTACTAACATTTGTTTTGCGTTGCTACCAGTAAAATTATTCACAAAGCTTTGGAATGCAATACCACAATGACCTTGACAGAGTATGCAGAAAAGGGAGATGTTTCTGAAGCGGTGAAAGTAATGACTGCCTGGTTACTGCTCGTGTTTTTGTTTGAGTATAACATGTTCTTTTTATTCAGCGTCTTCTACTTTCGTTTACTGTTTCTAGTAGGTGCTTCTTTTATGAATATGTCTGACAGTGATGATTAATGACTGTGAAGTTATTGCTTGTGTATCTGTTTCAGTAAAACATTCTTTTTATTCTGTGTCTTCCGTTTTCATTTACTTCCCCCCCCCGAATATGCCTGACAGTGATGACAGTGAAATGGATGATTATTTTTTGTCATCATCAGAATCAGACACCTCAGTACGATATTATATCAGATTAAGAGGATTTCGGCTATTCTCTAAAAGATGCTCAATGTTGGGTACGACTTGATATGAAAAACTTGCTTATTGCATCCAACCAATTAAGAAGAAATATTTTTTTAATAGGTAAACTGACTTTACAAGGTATAACAGTGAAACCTGATATTACACTTTATGGTCTAAAAATAAACTGATCTAAACTCCATTTTTGGGGATCTTGGTTGATCTTTACATTACGGTAACTGGTAGTTTGGCGACATTTTGGAGGCGATAAAGGTTACTACCTGGGACTTTGGTAATAATGTGAGCAATACTGAGTTCCGATTACGCATTATTTTGTGTGGGGGAAATGAGAGATCATGGGATATGCCATGTGATATTAATGGACGAATTACGGTTCTTTAATCGGAAAAGGGGGGGGAAAAATCGGGAAAAAAATCTGGAAATTTTGTGTATTTGGCTTTATTCTGTGTTGTGTGAAATAGTGTTTGTGAATTTTTGGATCCCATGGCCGTAAGTAAAGTGAATTCGAAATGGGTATTTAGTGGTATTGAAAAAGGATAGTAAGAAATGTTTTTTAAGGTTGTGTGAGAGAGAAAATAAACATGTTTTATTATGTTATTTATTTTACCTGGTATCTTTGCTTTGAAAGATAAGTATGATTTTAAAGATTCTGAAAGAGAATGAAGAAAAGTGTATCCGCCACGTAATGAAGATTCTGAAGGAGATTAGGTAAGTTAGTATTTTTAATTATTTTTATGGCATTGTTGGAAATGTAAGGTGGAAAGGAATTGGTATTATTGGGAAAAATTGTTATTAGCAATGATTTAGTTTAAAGTAATTAGGATTGTAAGGTAATTTTTATTAATTGAATGTATGTGCTCATGTATATTTTAAGTGGTGTTTTTGAATTTAATTATATTTAATGAAATGATAGTTATTTTGTGAATTTTATACTTGTAGGAAATTTGGTGTATGTTTAAGTTGAAATAAATGTGCATGGAAATAATTTAAATATTTGATAATAAATATTTGTAATGCTTCATGTATGAATTCGTTGGTGATGTGTATAATGTAATAGATGATTTAGAGGTAAAAGTTTTTGGATATTTTATTTATTTTATATGTGGAAATGTTCATATTTGTAAACGGTAAATACTTTTTCGCGATCAGGTAATTTCATATATGTTCTTTTTTTACCGGGTTTAAAAGCTTGAGAAAATTGTCATGTATTTTCGTGAAATTTTTCGAATTTATGAGAAAAAAGCAGTGTACATGGATATAGTGAAGAGTGTGCGCAATGCCATTTTTGTGTGCAATTCTGGGATGTTTTTTTAAGTAAAAAATAAGTCGGCGTGTTGTGTGTACATGGTTTATGTGTATGTTTTATTTTGAAAAACGCATAAGGTGTATGGTATTGTGCACTTTTTCCGAATTTTGCAGTGAATATTTGTCATGATTAAGCAGTTTTGTTTGATAAAATTTCTAGCATAAGTGTAATTTGGCTAGTAGATTGTTGGAAGAAGTGTTCAGTAGATAAGAAGAAAAGAAACATGTCTTTACTTCGTGAAGACAAAATGGTGGCGGGGGAAAAAAAAATAGAGGGTTGCTGTAGGGGAGTTGGTCGCCAAATTTTCGCCAAAAAATCGCCAAGTTACCGTAATGTAAAGATCAACCGGGATCTTTTTTATTATACTTTTACTCTAAATGTTAAATTTTGTATTTTCTTTTTTTGTGGAAGTGAATAGTTTTCAAACAGCAAAACTTGCACTTATTTTCTCTCTAATACATCGCATAACTACACACGCTGGTGAAAAAGCAGTGGCACTGCGGAGTGAATCTTGTACGTTTTCCGCAAAGTTCTGGCAGAGCGGTTAGGCATAGCAACTAAAAACATTCTTTGGTTTCTTCGCAAATACTGCCACACACCTTCCGGGTGAAAGGATACGACCAACGTTGTTTTTTCAACAGGAAAACAAACTTTCTATATATAAATAAAATATTTTAAGTGCTGCTTACTATAACTGATGGTCTAGAAATTAATGCATGGACACGAACGTTTCTAAAACTGTTATAACGAACACAGCGTAATGATTTCAATTAAGTTGATACTGTAAAATTCAATGGATGTTAATTCTAAGCACCATGCATAAATGAAACAAACTGCCATTAAGAAATTGATTCTTCAAGCTAGTTTTAAGAATATTATTATTATTTTTTTTAAATTCTGCATGCATTATATCTTCATCTCTAGTTTTGTTGGGTGAAGTGCAGAAGAAGAACTGGATTTTTGTCAATTTCCTTTGACTTTTTAAGTGAAAATACATCAATGTATACATGGACAAAGTTAAGGGAGTGCAGAATGCTGAATTTGTGAAATTCTCTGGTTTTTTTTTTTTTTTTTTTTTTTTTTTTTTTTTTTTTTTAAGTGAAAACAGGTTAATGTGTACATGGATACCAATTTTGTGCAATTCATGCACTTTCTTTCAGATTGAAGAATTTCTCGTTCCTGAAGAAATTGTATGGAAGATCCTTATCATCAAGTACGCTGCAGATTTTTAGGCTAAAGTGCAGAATCGCCCACTTATTTGTTTGGTGCTTTTTACAAGAGTAAGAAGAATTAGATTTTTGTCAATTTTCTTTGACTTTTTAAGTGAAGATAGGTCGATGTGTACATGGATACCGAGTATGTGTAATTCTTAAAAATGCGCCAAGCTGTGGGCGATTCTGCACTTCCCTGATTTTTATATCCATGATAAATACAATAAAAATATAAGTGACCATTATATCTTTAGTATTTGTATTCTGATTGCCAATTTTGAAAAGGTATTCTTTTACTTTTTTAAAAAGTAAATATTGGGTACTATTCCATTTTGAGGACTGTAAAAATTGCCAAAATATTGTTGATGCCAGTGCTGCCAAAAATAATTGCTGTAACACTAACGCAAGAAATTATTTTTTGCATGAAACAGAACCCTGCTAATCAAAGGGTACCCAGTTTTATTTATGTGAAAGGATTATTCACATTTCACAAGACCTGAGTCTTCTATACTACTGTATAACCATTGTGTTAAATCACTATAAACAATCTGGTTATAAAATATCACTGTTGTAAACCATGATTAATAAGCATTAACTGCAATGATACAATTACAAAAAGAATACAATATACTCGGCCTTTAATTTAACTAACATTTGTGATAACGAGCAAAAAATATATTAACAAATAAGTTAAATATATCACAACAAGACGGGGCAGAAAATCTTTTCATGATTTAATTTATTCAATGGTACAAATGAATACTTAAAATTTTCTCATATTTAAGAAGATCTATTCATAATGCTCTACAAGAAGTGCATTCTATGGATTAAAGTACCAAACACGTGAAAGTGCATTGAATATGATGCGGATGGTTCACTTCTTGCTGAAAATCATGAATAATCAGAGACTCATGATGCTTAAAGCAATTTCTATACCACTACGACAAATTACGTCTTAAATAAAATTCAAGCACAAGATCAAGGCTACTATTCTGTCTATTTCTCAATAAACATTTCAGACTTATGTTATAATATATACATATACAGGAATTTCAAAATTTTAGCGGTGAATGATGAATAAACGCAGACGCATACAAAAAGTCTTTAAAATATAAAAATTTAGAAGTGAATTTCTGATATGTAGGCGCAAATTAAATATCAAACAATTTTCTATCTCACATACTATACTCAATTTAAGCATTTCCGGTAATAACATAGAAATTTTTCACAATAGAAACAAACAATACTAGTTTACAAAATGCAAAGACTACTTAAGTTATTATACATTTTTACTTACTCTTGAATACGGCAGAGGTCGAGAACGGCCTCTGTTTGTTCTAGGTCGTATTGGATTGCCGGCAAAACTACCACGCGTTCGGCCTCTTGATCCTCGGCCCCTTCCTCCTCCTCGCCCTCTTAATCTGAATTGGCCTTTACTTTGTTTAATTATATCATCTAGAGACATATCCAATTTATCAGACATTATGTCACTTTTAGATATTCAAAATGGCTAAACCACTACGTACAACAATCCAACAGTCAACAAAGCAGGAACTTTCACAAAATCGGTTACGAATATCAAAACTCTTGTTGCCAACAGAAAAAATAAATCAATACTAAGGTAATAAATATAAATTCCAAACAATGAATGAGTAAATATGGTTTTATATCAGAAGAGTTTATGCAAAATATGCTGAACTTTTACCTAGAGTTTAACTGTTATAATTTTTCTTTCTGATGGTGTAAAACATCAATGCTAGTAAAGAGTTCTAGAAATTTTCAAAATACAGGGAAAAGGAGGATTTAATTCTTTAGAAAATGTAAATTTCGGTATTTTTGGTTGATACATTTTCTCTATTGGGATTTCTGCACTTTGCTCTTGCAATATACGAAATGTTAAATAGGATAATTAAGTTTTTTTCAGAGATGTTTTCGAGCACTCTCATTGTGCAAAAGCATACGTGTGAAATTTTCATTGCAGCTTAGTGTTGTAACTGTTTCGAAATATTTAATTTTTAAGATACGAATAAATGAATTTTGTCCTTGTCAGAAGGAGGGTTTCCAGGATTGCCCAATTTATGGCTAGCATTATTATGTGATTGAAAACTGATGGATATGATGAGAAGCGTTAGTTGGTCTGACTCCTGTATTTTAATGAAGCAACATGAAATAGGATTAAGAATAAAAATATAACTTATTCCGTATACAGAAAGGAAATTCGTGCCGGGAACACAGTAGCAGCCCTTCACCTTGCCTTCACACCCAGCGTCAATAATGCTTCATCACATGTGATTTTTTCATTACCGTGTAACATTATTAACATTGACAACTTAAAAGCTATTTCTAACATGAAAAAATAAAAATTAAAGTTTTATGTAAAGAATTCACCTTTTTAAATCTTTCAGTGTAGGGTTCTGAGAAATATATAATAGCTTTGAGAGGTTGTCAGACGTTGTTTATTTATTATTATTTATTCTTCGGACTAGAAATTCTCCACCGGCAGAAAGACTTAACAAGATATCTGTTTACATTGTCTGTCTACTTCCTTTACTCATTTTTAGTCATGAAGATTTTTTGGGAATGATGGTTTTCATGTAACATCTGATTATGAGTTAGAATGCTGAGTAAAATTTTAATTCGTCCATAATTTTGAAAGTTCAATCTTTCATTATCATGTAAAATTATAAAAATAATATGCTGAGCAAGTAATCCATGCTATCATTATTATCAGTGCTTTTTGATTTGGGTTGTTCATAATATAGAAGAGGAAGTATGTCGAATTTTCCGAGTGCTAGCGTACGTTGGGCTTTTAATGTGCGAGAGTGGATACCAACTCGAGATCAGTGGAGATTGGCTATGCAGTGTGTACAGAAGGAAGAAAAAGAAAGATGTTATAAGTTTGTTTTTGCAGAAGATTGTAAATCATCAGTGGTATACATTTTTCTGTCTATAATTCATAAGCTTCTGTTTTGAGCTTTCTCACTAACTAATAATATATAATGCTTACATACTACTTAAGCTGATTCTCATTGCCAGTTTGATGTTGCGTAATATATCATGCTAACTAATAAGATTTGATGAACTTCGATAAGTATTTAACGGTAATTCTTGCAATAAAGTTTTAGTTTTCAGTCTGTTATAGGATAATTTATGTATGTCATTTCTTTAAGATAATATTATGCATCTAGTGTAAAATTGGGTGCTCCTGCGATTGGCGACAAATTTTGTTTAGTTTTGGTGAGGAAACCCCATTTTTGGTTACAATGATAGTTTTAACTTGGTTTAGCTTCCTGATTTTTTTTCAAGTGAAAATAGATATGTACATGGACAAAGTCAAGGCAGAGTGCAATGCTGAGTTTCTGCAATTCTCTCATGTTTTTTTAAGTGAAAATAGGTCGATGTGTACTTGGACACCGAGTTTGTGCAATTCTTCGACTTCTTAGTTTGCTTTGTATATTGGCCGTCTACATTATTTATACTTACCTTTGTTAATGATTAGAAATTTAAGACGTGTAAATTTAAATATAAAAAAAATAATAAAGTGTAAAAATTAGTTTTTTTAACCTATCATTTAAAGCTAAATTAGTTTGAAGTAAAAGAATTTATTGGATGCCATTTTGTTTTCACGAAGTAAAGGAATGTTTTTCTTTTAACTCAACATTTTTTCTAACAATCTGCTAGTTGAATTATGCTTATACTAGAACTTTTATGGAACAAAAATGCTTAATCATGACGAAAATTAGGTGTGAAATTGGGAGAAAGTGCAGAATCGCAAACTGCTTGCCGCGTTTTTAAGAATTCCACATACACGGTATTCATGTACACGCTGACCTATTTTCACTTAAAATAACATCCCAGAATTGCACAAAAATGGCATTGGGCACACTCTTGACTTTATCCATGTACACATCAATCTATTTTCTCTTAAAAAGTCAAAGAAAATTGACAAAAATCCAATTCTTCTTACTCTTGTAAAAAGCGCCAAACAAATAAGTGGGCGATTCTGCACTTGAACAGCGAAATTCTTTCTAAGTGCTTATTAGCTAAAATCACGATCGGAATTTTCCGGAAAATGTCACATTACATGTCTCATGATCTCTCATTTCTCTGAGACAAAATAATCTGGGATTCGAACTGTGTACTTCTCAGATTATTGCTAAAGTCCTAGCTAGTAACCTTTATCGCCTTATGGAAATGTCGCCAAGCTACCTGTTACCATATTCTAAAGATTAGCCCATTCCTCCCCTTAGGCAGATAGTCTTCAAGCCTTTTCCACACTCACATAAAACAAATCAAACCAACCTGCTGAGAGTTATGCTCTTTCTTTCAGTTGTCATTTCTGCAGCTTTGTTTCTATGCAGTTCCTGATGCTACCTGGGACTACTTAAAAATAAAGGCTAAGGATGCTAAGGGCTGAAACAAAAAAATTGTAAGGGGCCCTCTATTGTTTTTAGGTGGAACTGTATAAAATTTTTTTCTCATTTTGGTGTCCATGAACCATGTCTCATTTTAGAAACAAAGATGAGTCACAATAGGCAGGTTTTGTAAGAAACAGAGGCCCAGTGATTCTCAAGCAGAATCAAAAGGGGATAAAAGATAAAGACAGGTACATAGATAGTTATGCATGTTTTCAGAAAGATACTTATGTAGTGTTTCAAAAAGGGAACATCTAATCCAAACAATTAAATCTCTTCCATTTCTCTTCCTCATCATTTATGCTATTCATTTTCCTTATTACAGGTACAATAAAATTAACTTTTCAGCATATTTTATATGCTTTATATTCTATTAGTAAAGTTAAATAAAGTTTATATTTTTTTGTCATAGATTTTGTATTGTCATAGATTATGATTTTTATTAGTTTTATATTATGAATTTATGTTCTGCTGTTAAGTTTAAATAAGCAAAAATTTGTGGTCCAGGAATGGATTAATCCATTTTACATTAATTGCTATGGAGAAAATAGTTTTGGTTTATGAATATTTAGAGTGAAGAACAGGAATAAATTAAGTTTGTGAAGTAAGGTTACACTGTATTTAAAACATCATAATGTTTTATTTTTATTTATTTATTTTCTCTGAAAGGTTGGTCGTTTACTTATGAGGAAAGCAGCAAGTGAGGCATTGGATATTCAGTATGACAAAGTAGTTTTTGCTAGAACGGAATCTGGAAAGCCATACCTAATAAAAAAAAATGGAGAAGACTTTTATTTCAATATATCTCACAATGGAGATTACTGTGTTTTGGCATCTGAGCTAAATTTCAATATTGGGATTGATGTGATGAAAATGGAGTACAAAGGTAATTTGTATATTGAAAAATATATTTATATATACAGTCAAAAGTCGTTAATTCGAACACCCATAATCCGGACCTCAAAGCTAAAAACTTTCTACGCATGCGCCACGTTGACACAAGTGCATAGGCGTTTACGCGTATGCGTAAGACCTTTACGACTGCGCATATGCATGTGCGCAAGCGCAGAATACGTTTTTGCATGCGTGTTTTATGTATAACGGACGGTATAAGCTAAAATTATCTATTTCAGTTCATGTTGATGATTGCGTTGTTCCTTAATCTTCGAGTTGGATCCGGCTTATTATTTTTTGCAGACTGTTACAGCAATTTTATAAAAGTAAACTTGAACTTTCGATTATGTCAAATACAATTTCCGATATATATTTACTAATATGTAAAGGATCAATATAAAAAAAAAAGTATATTTCAAATTTAATCCATCTGTTACAGAAGAACAAGCTAGGCTATTTAAAAGTATCAGATGCATTTCTTAAGCATATTATTATTTTAATTTTGAATCCGATTCAAAAGTAAATTGAGTTCACCATGTAACTAATTAATGATATTAAATATTTTTATAGAATTGCATTATTAAGTTTTTTCATTTTTCAAATATGCAGAAGATATATAACGTTCCTATGCTAAGACACAATAAAACGCCGAATAAATACTTATTCAGAAGTCAAACCACAAAAGTCAGGGTTATATTTTCAAAATTTTCACAGGACTAGTTTCGATGTTTTTACCGAACCACCATCCTCAGCTCGGTTTTGCAGCTGAGGATAGTGGTTCAGTAAAACCATTGAAACTAGTCCTGTGAAAATTTTGAAAATATAACGCTGATTTTTGTTATTTGACTTCTGAATTAGTTCCTATGCTAGTGTAAATGCATATTTATCCAATATCATATAGAATGTTTCATTCTTGCCTTTGAAACATCTCTACAGATAATCTCTGCTAGTAAACATATTAAACTTTAAAAGAGGCTTTTTGGATGAAGTTAAAATATAAACCCTCCCAGTTAAAAAAAAAATATATATATATATATATATATATATATATAATGAATTTTTTTAAGCAGAATTTTGAGAAGTTCTATCAATATAATTGGTGTAAGTAAACAGAAAAATGTAAATTAACGCAGTATAGTTAGGAGATTCTACATTATTTTGAATATATTTGAAGATTTAGGAATTAATTTACCCAAGAAAAGGTATGTTTTATTAGCTTCTAATACACAAAAATATTTTAACTTTATTTTACATTTTTGAAAAATATCAAATGTACTGATAATCTTGCCCACTCATTATACAGTCAAAAGTCATTAATTCGGACACCCATAATCCGGACCTCAAAGCTAAAAACTTTCTGGCACATGCGCACAAGCATTTTACGCCTGCGCGTAAGACCTTGACTACTGCGCATATGCGTGTGCGCAAGTGCAGAATACGTTTTCGCCTGCGCGTTTAATGTATAACGGACGGTGTAAGCTAAAATTATCTAATTATCTATTTCAGTTAATGTTAATGATTGCGTTGTTCCTTAATCTTCGATTTGGATCCCGCTTATTATTTTTTGCAGACTGTAAGAGCAATTTTATAAAAGTGAACTTGAACTTTCGATTATGTCAAATAGAATTTCCGATGCTGGAACTTCTAAAGGATCTACAAAACGAAAGTATGTTTCGATGTCCAACAAACAAAAAGTGGAATTGCTGCAAAAAATGGATAAAGACATGAAGAATGTGACAGAGAGGTTAGTGAAGACGAAAAAATTTCGATTGACAAGTTAGTCGGTATTCTCGGCACAGCAATTAACGGGACTTGAACAGCGGAACTTTGTAACTGAAAGAATTATTCTTTTTATAGAATTAAAGAGAAAGTATTATCACAAAATGAGCAACTTAAACAACTTACATTGAGAGAAATGTTTAATAAGTAAACAAATAAATATTAAGCTTTTTTTTTTTGTAAATTTTGATACCCTTTAGATCATAATTGTTTCTTTATTTCAAAATTACAGTTTCATATTTTTAATTTTAGAATTTCTGCATGCCATCTTACGAGATTTAAACTGATGATCTATAATCCGGATAAACGACTTTTAACTGTATATCTAGACACAAAACAATTACAATTTATACTGAAACTGAATTACATTTTTTAAAGTTAAATGTATCAAATATAATTGCCTTTTTTATAAATTTAAATATTGATTAATTTTGTGCATTAATGTTTTGTGTATGCAAAAAATTGGTGTTAAATTACTTTTAGGTTTTTGCATAAATATGCTAAGATGTCTGTTTGAATATTTACATTATTTCAGTTAAATTAATTAAAATTCAATTAAGTCTCCAACCAGCAAAGGGTGTGGCCTGCGAAACTAAAAATTCCCCCAGACTGTCTGGAGAATAAGGTATTTTTTTGATTATAATACAAAAAGATTCCTTATATTTTATACCTTGAATCTTTATCTTTCAAAATACTGCTTTCATTTCGTGGACATATTTAAATATAATATGTATACACACACTCACATACACACTTATTTAAAGATGCTTATAAAACAATCTTCTAGGTGATTAATAGGCCTTGTTGGTTGAAGGGTTAAGTACTGAAGCTTAATTATTTTGATTTATTTGTAGTAATATAAAAATTTCATTCTAAGTATTAATGTGGAGATATGTTGTACGTAGATCTATTACATTACTTGAGTATTTTAATCTTATGAGAAAACAGTTTTCTACCTATGAGTGGGATTTCATTATGTTACCTGGTCTAGAAAGGGAACAACTGCAGAGATTTTATCGTTTATGGGTAAGAAAATTTTATACTGATTTATTGATTATTACATATATATATTTGTATAATGTAAAATATTTTATCATTGCCTAAGTTTTTTGTTTTAGTATACAATTAAGTAAAAATTAATAAGCTATAACAGTTTTAAAGAAATATAATAATTCTGTAAATATCATCATAACTCTACTGCATAATTTGAATGATGCATAGGCAGGAGAGACTTTCAGATAGATGTGGCCATAGATACATGAAGTGATTCAGAAGTCAAACAACAAAAATAAGCGTTATATTTTCAAATTTTCACAGGACTAGTTTTGATGGTTTTACCAAATCACCATCGTCAGCTGCAAAAGCGCAAATGATGCTGCATTTGCAGCTAACTATGGTGGTTCGGTAAAACCATTGAAACTAGTCCTGTGAAAATTTGGAAATATAACGCTGATTTTTGTTGTTTGACTTCTGAATTAGTATTTGTTCGGCGTGTTATTGTGTCTTAACATTAAGTGACGTTTATAAGACAGATGTGCCCAAAGACAAGACATAGTTTATTGCTTTACAACTAATTCTTGATACATAGATTCTTCCTCATCCATTATCAGGGATGCAATATGCACCTAATCTTCATAAGGTTCTTTGGAATTTACATCTTTAGACAATGGGCAAAGGAATGAAGCGAACGATGCAGCGGTAAAATACTGAGTCAGCGTATAGCTGTATCCATGTTTAAATTTAACTGACTTTATTGCTTAATTTACAATGTCACAAGTAGTGGTTTGTTTATAGCACAAGTCATGCCTTTTATGTTATTAATAGCAATTCTACAGCATTTTCCAAGTTTGGAAAATATCTTACTTTCTTGGAAAACCAAGAACCATAATTCCGAGAGGTTTGCTATTGTGCTGTTGCCTTATTATGAAAGAAAAAGAAAACATGTTCAGACAAGTTTAGACACTTATTTTCTTAAAAAAAAAACACTTTAAAAATTGTCATTTTGGGCCTATCCTTCCACTTCTTATATAGCCTCACCTTTACTTATCAATGAATCTTCAGAGGGCGAGTCAGACATTAACTCATCCGCACCCCATCCATAAAGCCCCAGAGACAACAATCCAAGTTACGTATTGTTGTGACTTATCTCAGTTGTTTAACAGTAACATCAGCTCAAGCCCACAAAATTCATTGTGGCAAGGAGTGGAAGATTGCGTCTATCATTGGCAAGAGCCTTAAGCACCATAAAAGTGACAGTATGACTTCTTTTCTCTTTTTCTTCTCAGTTCCTTCCCCAATTTGATGGAGAGCACTTGGGAGGGAGGCGGGTCCAAGGCTCTTCCTCTACCATCAACCTCTCAAAAGGACTTTTGGCTCGCCACGTATTTAGAGTGCCCCCATATCATACAGACACTATATTTTTACATCTTCGTGATTCAAACCTGGTTCCTTCGGCACGGCAATCAGCATCACTAATTTGTAGCTCAAGTTATGTAGCGTGTAGTAAATAACTTACAGTATGTAAATTAACTTAATTATTCTATTTAACATATTTAAATAGAGTAATTTTATTTATTTATAATGTACTGTATTTATTTAAATTTTAAAACATATTATCTATTTGTTTTAGTATTTCTAATTGTTTATTTGATAGTATTTATAGCTCGCATCTCATGCGTATCATTAGGAGATATCCATAGCAAAGTTAACAACATTTTGTGGACAAATTTATGGTATGATCGTTTGTTTGGAACATAATTTGTTCATCAGATGGAGAGCATCTGTTATGTATTTATTGCCTATATTTAGAGAGGTCCAGATAATTTAGAGAAGTCCTGATTTCTTCTGTTTCTTATCCATCTCTTTCATCCTCCTTATAATGAACGTACCCACCTACCCATTATTGACTAATATAAAAATTTAACTGCTTTGAATTAACCAAGACAAATTTATGTCAGGATAATTTTTTTCCAGTCACTGCACTTTTAAGAATGAATTATTATTTATTTGTTAACTAGGAGGAAAATACCATTTATTTTTTAATCTGAAACTGTTTCAATATTGAATGAAAATTGTTGTTTTACACTGCTTTTAATGTATGTGTAAGAAAATTTATTGTAAAATCAGATGAATCCTGTGTATTGGGGAAAAAATAGAGTAAACACTGTAAGAGACTAACCAGGAAAAAATGATGAAGATCATGGTTAGAAAAATTACTTGGGGCCTGATTATGATCCAGCAGCCTTATTGATAAGGTTTGATCTGTGTTGTAATATATTATGTATACTTATTTTTTTCACTGATCAACATTCTATATGCCTATTTAGAGCTGAATGATTAAAGTTGTAAATTATTGATAGCTGCATGTTAGGTTTGATTAATGAAAGCATAGCCAGTTAGCATAGTTTCTCTCCAGAAAGTCCCTTTTAGCCCTCTAGTACTTGGTTATATAAAATAACCAATCATGCATACTGCTGAGATTTTCTTGATATATTAACTTTTCTTTGGTTATGTGCATTAATTTATTATGCATTTTATTAAATTATTTCTTAACTTATATGCATATTCTAACTTTCAAGACTGGAATAATTTTTTGTGTTCATGTTTTCTTCTTATGGTCTTTCCATATACACTCATGTCCATAAATTAAGGATAATGCAAATCAGCAAAGGAAGAGTTATAAGAAAAAAAAAAAAAAAAAAAAAAAAAAAAAAAATACTTATTCGTAAAGCTATTAACAAAGGTAAAGACAAAAAGATGCTATATGTTTGATATTATTAAAAAATTAGCGATTTTTTCTCATTGGAGCAATTACAAAAAAAAAACCTATTTACAAAAAACCAGTATTACATAGTTGGTATGATTGTTAATACATTGTATGTCTCCCAGACGATGCAATACAGTCCGTATAACGCCTAGGCATGCTGAGTATCAAATTATTGATCTGATCTTGGGGGATATTACACCACTCAAAAAGCAATTCTCTTCAAAGTTCCGGTAGACATGTAGGAGGAGGTTGACGCGCTGCAACTCGTCGGCCAAGCATGTCCCACACGTGCTCTACTGGATTCAAGTCTGGTGAGAATGCTGGCCAGTCCATACGTGTGATATCCTCTGATTGAAGGCATTCGCTTATGATGTTTGTACAGTGAGGACGGGAGGTCATCCATAAACACAAATTGTGCCGCCATGGCGCCTCCGAAACAAATGTACATGTTGTTCCAGAATGACGTCCCGATAGATTTGGCTTGTCATGGTTCCAATTTGAACATGCAAGGTCAGTTCTGGAACCCCAGAATAATTCCACCCCAAACGAGCACTCCTGCACCACCGTAACGGTGTCGTTCAATGATGTTTTCTTGGTGGTAACGGTACCTGGAGCTCTCCACCTGTAAAATGCGAGACTCGGACTCAAGCTAAATCTGGACTCATCAGAAAACATCACACAAGCCCATTGTTGCGGTGTCCACAATGCATGCTCTCTACTCCAGGCTAACCGCAAGCGACAGTGAGTTGCAGTAAGTGGAATGCATCTGACAGGTCTATGAGCATATAGACCAGTCTGCCCTAAGCGTCTGTACACGGTCTGCCTTGAAATTGTTGTACCAGTGGCTGAATTGAGCTGACGAGACAGGTCTGAGGCTGTGCTCCGCCTGTTTCTTTTGTCTGTAACTGCCAAATACCGGTCCTCATTCGGTGTTATAACTCTGGGGCGATTGTGCTGTAACGTCTACTCACATTACCATCATCTTGGAATCGTTGCCAAAGCCTGGAGATGACACTCTGGGCAATTCCAAGTTCGTCTGATACTTCCAGTTGGGTACGCCCACATTCCAGACAGCCGATAATTCTACCACGTAAAAAATCATCCATATGCGTCCTTTGTGTCATAACTATTCAGTTATTGCACTGAAATGCTTATAAAGCACCTGTGAACAATTTTACTTCTTTGCCTGTATTCCTTATATATCACTCTCATCCATGTGGGTGTACCATTGGTGTCATCTGGTTACTTCCTGAAATTTGCATATGATTCTTGAAGATGTGTGTAGTGATTTTACAGGTGATATATTTATTTTAGAGTTCGATTTCCGCGTGACTCCGAATTATCCTTAATTTATGGACATGAGTGTATTTAAATACACTAATCTACAGTATTATGCATATTCACAAAACTTAAAATGGTAACAAAGTTCTAATAATGAAGCATTTGAAGAGTTATGTGAGAGATATTAAATTCAGCACTGAATCTGACTGAAGGAGCAATATAAGATGTCTGTCTAGTGTACATAGCATTATGTTGTAAAAATTCTGAAACTCATTTATATTTTACCCCAGAAATTGAAATTAAAGAAAGTGAAAGATAAAGTGGCAATAATGCATATCCTGGTATGTAAGACATTTGTGAATATGAATTTAATTACATTTGCCGTATAGAGTTTCAGGACTATAAGGAACACACAAATTTGCCCACTCCATCATTTTACAGTATAGTCAGTAGTAAATTATACTAAAATATATAGAGACAAAAGTCTTTAATCCGGAATGATCTATAACCCGGAACTCAAAGCTACAAACTTTCTGCGCATGCATAAACGCATTATGCATGCGCATAATACCTTTACACATGTGCATATGCATTTACGCATGAACGTAATACGTTTACACATGCACGTTTAATGTATAATGCGTTTAATGTATAACGGTATAAGCTAAGCTAAAATTATCTAACTATCTATTTCAGATGTTGCAGATTGCGTTGTTCCTTAATTTTCTAATTGGACCTGGCTTAATATTTTTTTCAGAATGTTAGAGAAATTTTATAAAAGTAAGCTTGAACTTTCAATTATGTCAAAAAGAATTTCCGATTCTGGAGCTGCCAAAGGATCTACAAAGCAAAAGCTTGTTTCAATGTCCATCAAATAAAAAGTGGAATTGCTGCAGAAAAATGGATAAAGGCATATCTTTTGTTTCTCTAACCATTCCGAAATATGTTTATGAATTTCACGCTGCTCTGCGGGGGGTGG